AAACATCTGTCTCTTTAAAAGTAAAAAGAAATATTGAAGCTCTCATATTTTCATTAACAATCGAATTGTGAAGACCTCTTCCCCTGTCACATTAGTCATTCAGCACTAGCAAAATATATTCCATGACACCCATCACTGGTTTACTATGCCTGCAAAAAATGCTCCTAATTCACAAATCCTGCAGGTTGAGGTAATATTTCTATTTTAGCAGCCTTCTACTTAATTCTGCTAACAGTTTTTTTTTTACATCTTGCACTAGATATCTCAGATCTGATCCTCATGTTGCCTTTTTTATTAAGACACGTCATCATATCGGGCTGTCAACATTACTTTCAGGTGGCTTCAGCCAGGCAGCAAAAACAACGGCCAAAATGAAATTAAAAAGCTTTTATGACGATACATTACAAGGACTGACGTCGGAAATCTGAGATTACTTCTAGTAAATAAAACCTCAGGTAGAATGAATGAATCTGATCCGATAGCCTTGCTGCAACCGCTTTCCTTCAACGATGTGGAGGGGAAACAGTTAGCTGTCTGTTGGGTTTATATTACAAAGAGCAGACAGTCTGATCAGTTGTTCAGTGGTCCGTGCTAAATGTTTAATATCGCTTTGTTATTGTGGGAAGTTGATGTGGAGGAGCTAGCTGGCTAAGTTAGCTGTCAGTTACCCTGGAGATGGAGCTCACAGCCCCGTAAAGCCAAACTTATTTCACTTTGAACTCATACTCACTCTTGCCGGCTCTCTGTTGTTTTGCTTTCATCGCCGGTTTTTTCTTCTTTCGCCGGCCGGGCTTCGGCTGTGGTGTTTACGTTGTTTGCATCTTGTCTGCTGCCTCGTCTGGCTCGCTGCCGAAGCGTCTTGGCCGCCATGTTTCCACAGCCTTCATTTCCCGAGTCGCGATTCGGTCATTTTCGCCACTGTTCGGTTATTCTTCTTCTGTTGAAATTATTATGGGGGTTGGCTAAAACGTTAGTTGAGCATTACCGCCACCAACTGGTAAGGAGTGTGAACCACATGGCAAAAAAAGAAAAAAAATATGATATCCTGTTATACAATTTAATCCGTTTCAAAAACTCAAATATAACCTGATATCCTCTGCTCCCCGATTCCTTTTGCAGACTGTTCGGTTATTGACAGGTCTTATCCGTTTAATGTTGGTTCTCCCTGTCATAAACGTTGTGCATCATGTCGATATCAAATATTTTGTATGAAACATGATTATATTGTTATCCAAGAGATTTGAAAAAATAAACACAATGAAAATGTTAAAAGTTTGATATGATGCGCAAACAATCACGATTAGAAAATAATTTGGCTGCAACACCTGTTAATCCTGAACCTGTGTATATAAAACAAGGGGTGGAGCTGGAAGGGGGGCCAGGGGTGGCCATGGCCACCCTTAGCCAATCATTGACCACCCCTGTGGCCACCCCTTACATTTTTTCTCTCTAATACAGATGGTAGCAGCAGTAATACTCTCAAGGGGAATGTTCAAACTTATTAAACATTTAAAATTTACATATATTAACAATTACTTTACAACTAAAGATAATAAATAAAGAATTCACACTCTTTTTAGAACCAAATTTTGTGTTATTTGGGGTAAAAAGAAAATTATATGTCCCTGAATGATAGATAAATAAATTTTTTGCAGAACGATTATGGATAAAAGTAGGTAATAACAATGTTAAATATTTTCGCCCCAGACCTCAAACCTGAAAGACTACCATACCTTTTATTTAGACAGCATGGGTGTTTAACTACATATGTGTCTATTTGTTAGCAAAGGCTGTAGGAAAGTATAGTTAGTTTTTATTTAGAAAACATGGATGTTGTCCTCGTTCCTGTAGGAACAGCGTAGATTGACTGTGAGGTTCTGGCGCCTTTCGGACACCCCTCAATGTACATTGGTTATTGACCCTTGTTAGGATTTTATGGCTACGCCTCTGTATAAAGCTAACCTTAAATTTACATAAACATAATTATGCCACAGATTCCTCAATGTTATTTATAGTGATAGTTCTATTAAGACTGGTACCCTCCTTATGAGCCTCCTCTTTTCCCCTTAAGCCAACTTGGCACTACGCACAGACCGTATTCTGCAAAAACCACAACTATCCAGTTCTTACTAGACATAGACCCTACAATGTAAGTCAATACTTGATTTAAACCAAGTATAAGAATGTTTTCCTCATATAGGGATGGCTTTAAAAAAAAAAAAAAAAAAAAAACTTGTTAAAGCTATTATCCAGCTTTTTTTGTAAAAATGACTTAAACTGAGGTTTAAGCCTATCCAGCTGCAATCTAACTAGAATACCTGGAATCTATGTCAAAATCTGTCACAGGTCACCCGATTACCATCCTGTCAACTACTGCCAACACTGTTTGTTTTCTAATGTTGTCATCAAACCAAACAGATGCAAGGCAGACAAAGCTGTTTTATCCAGTGCTTTTTTTTTCAAACTTAAAATTTTGTCAAATCCTGCAATTAAAACCCATCCTTGATTTGCTCACTTGTCTTTATACTTGCTGATGTTTCAAAGTGATAACATCAACCAAACATCTTAGTTTGTAAAGAAAATGAAAACTAAGAACAAGGGCAAACTTGTCTCCTTGGGTATAGACCAATATAAATCACGACACTTAGCAGCAATACAATTCCTTACTAGCTCCTATAAATTATATTAAGTGATGAATATTAGGATATTGTGATGTTAAATGTAGGCTCTGTGTCTACACCTTGAAGCTTTCTGTCTCCGGTTCTTTTTCCTGAAAAGAGATCACTCGAGAAAAACTCTTTAAATAACACTTCATAATGTATAACCATGAGACATGACAACAGATTTTGATAGAAATTGTAATCTTACTCAGATCAGAGAAGTTGCTTAGAGTTACAGGAGGCAGCTGCTTACCAGCTGGGCTCACTTCACGGGAAGTGGCCTCAATTAACAGTTAAAGAGGCATTTTATGCAATTCCAGTCTGTCACATCATCACATTTTACATCATACACGTTTGCAGATGAGGAGACATCCACGGCTCCAGCCTTATCAAAATACTACACTTTGTTCTTAGCTGAAGCACACCGCTCTCATTCTATTCCCCAATGTTTGCCACGTACAGAAGGAAGATTATAACTGTATATAGCCAGACAGAGGAACTGGCCTAATTAGATAAACTACTGGGGAAAATATCAGTTCTGATGCGCAACAGGGAGCTAATATTAAGGTGTAATAAACTCACATCATCAATGGTAATTATCCTAAAACCTATATAATTTTGCATATTCAAGAAAGTACAAAAACTCAATTCTCCTTTGGTAATTCCTTTAGGTGAGATTTACATCTTTCACCTTCATTGCATCTGAACTGGGCAAGTCAAGGGATAACTGCATTCTAATTGTGTAATTTAATAATTTTAAAACAAAGAAATGGTATGATGTAGAAAGATAATTTTTTAGCGTTGTGAAATAGCACCTTTACGGTATATTAAATGCAGACAAAAATTTTTTTTAAGAGGGTAATAGAAGTAGCAGGTTATGAAAGATAAAACCTCTTATGATTTTAGATTAAAGACTTGAGTAGTAGAAGGAAAAGCAAAGTTATCTATGTTAACATGGACATGGTAGAAGGGAGTCATTAGATCATTTGACTGGAGATTGGATAAGTAGCTTGTGAAGGTGGCAGCAGTGCAACAGTACTGCAAGCAGGCTGCTTTTAAAAAAGCCTGAAAAAATGTTTTATGCTTCACACTGCCTTAAATGATCTTTCATCTTCTTCATTGATGAATCTGTAACTTTATATTATCCATCCTTTTTCTGTCACGCTGGGGTCACAGCTGTCTATGGGCGAGAGGCGGGGTACTGGACAGGTCTCCAGTCCTTTGCAGGGCAACACAGAGACTATACACACAGACACTTTAGACACTCTGGTGATCTGTCCAAACCAGCAACCATTCAAACACACTCAGACCTAAGGAGAATTTGAAAAAGCCAATTAACTGAAGAGTCATGATTTGGGGCTGTGGGAGGAAGCCGGAGTACCCGGAGAGAACCCACACATGCACAGGGAGGACATGCAAACTCCATGCAGAAAGACCCCTGGCCGGGAATCGAACCCAAAACCATCTTGCTGCAAGGCAGCCACTGAGCGGCCCTAAAAGTTAATATATGTTTTTCGATTGAATACTACTGTATATTAATTAAATCTTAACAAATAGTGACACCACCAACAGTCTCAAGAGTAAACCAAATTAAGGTTTTAGATAAAGGTACACATTTTAACCCGTTATAAAAATTAATTCAGACGCATCAAAGAATAAATATTGTAGGTTTTCTTAGATATTTATGCAATTGGTTATAATCCTATGGATTAATTTTATAAAATAATCGCATTATCTCTTAAAATCCCGAAAAATGCTAAAAAAAAAAAAAAATACAGTAAAAGTCTGTTGCTTTTGCCCCCACTATTTATTGTAAACATAAACAAGAGTGTTCGATGTTTCCTATTTTCAGGTATTAGAGGATAATGAGAATCACCAAACCAACCTCATGAAAATAATTAGATGGTTTCTAAAGAAAGGAAGAGGTTTGATATATTTTTTTAAACTGATTAGATAGTTTAACACACTTTTTAATAAGTTTTACTATCACCTTAATGAAGAGGAGCAGAAAAAAATATTACACAATTAAACAGAATACTAAAGTTTGCACTGGTAAATAATAACTTCCAGGACTTGGTCAAAGAAATGTTTTGGTTTTCTTCCATTTTAATTTTTTAATGAAAAAAAAAATGCTATTTTTTTAAAGGTAAAGTCATTATAGCTAAACAACCTAAATAAAAAAAATTATTACTAAAAAGTGAAAAGAAAAAAAAAGTCATAAAATTATTGAGGAAGAGATTAAATAAAAATTTTTCATTGTGATATTTAATACATTTTTGGTGTCCACCAAAATATTTAGCTGCTCATTTGCTGTTTAATGTTTTATATAATTCAAACATGTCAGAAATAAATAGGTTTATTATACAGTTATAACACAAACACACACAGGATCACTTTAGTTACATTTCAGATGAATAAAACAACCACGGTTTCAACCAAACGTTTGACTATAGATTTTCTGATATTTTTTCTTTAGTTTAAAAGCACGTGTGGAGAATTAAAATGTCTGTGTTTTCCTAACATCTCCAACGGGTTTTCTCAAGTGCTACCTGATGATGACCTGCAGACGAGACGAGAGTAAAAGCTCCAGCTGCTTGTGAAACTTCAGAGCCTGTGTGTGTGACAGGGCATGTGTGTGTGAGTGGTAAACGAGTCTGTAACAGTAACTGGTTTGACTCAGGTCAGGGTGAGAGAACGTGTCGATGAGCTTAACTTGCTCCACAGTCCCGTGGCTGGCCTCTCTGACAATAGCATAGAACCTTCTCTCCTCCCACGCAGGTCCTGTCCAAAAGCTGATGTCAAAGCTGAAGGACCCGGGGTACAAAGAAAAGGGCTGAAATGACGTCCCTGGTTGTGGTCGTAGGGAAAACTGTTTTAAGAAGCGTGAGTCGTGAGACCAAAGCAGCCGCCAGTCTGGGAGTGAGAACAAAAGACAAGCCAGGAGGTCTAAATTTAGAGAAGCACTGATGGTGACGTTGCTGCTGCCGTCAGCTTCGCTGCTTGTAAACACCCTACCGATCGTCCCCATCGGCTGAGCTAACAGATGCAGACCTTCCTCATCAGTAACCATGGTGACCCCGTAGGGAGAGAGCAGAGTTTCCAGCTCATGTAATATCAATTTCATTGGCTTATTTTTCAATGGGAAAACACCTGTGAGGAGAAGCTCATGAAAGGCAGGCAGAGCCCAAGGGCTGATGGGCACACTCCTGAACACCACTCCACTGATAGCAAACAAGCTAGAACTCCCATTGCAGCCCTTACAGGTACCTTCTTCCTTATTGCCCTCAACCTCAGAACTTTCTTCAGCTTGTTTCGGAGGCTGCGCTTCATCAATATTATCTTTTTTGTCAATTAGCAAGTCTTCCAGCTGAGGAAGCAGTGATGGACGCAGCATGTAAAGACCCCCTTCAGCTTCCCGATTAACATCAAGGCAGTTTATAAGCTGTAAAATCTCAGTGTCTTTACTCCTTGCCCTGTCTGCTTTGGTAGGAGTTAAACTAGCTTTTGAGTCTGGGCAGACTGCATCTTTGTCTTGACCATGAGAGGGAAGCTCTTTCTGAAGCAGATGGATCCAGTAGCACTGCAGGTTGTCAATGCCGTGGCAGCGTGTCTGCAGCCGCTTGGCTGGGAGGAGGAAAGGAAAGGGTTCATCATGCAGACAGAGTGGCCACCGTTTGGCAAATCCCTGGAGAAGAAAATCTTGTACCAGCTTGACAGGATGGATGGAATCTGAGCAGAGAAACCTCCTGATGAGAAAAAGGGAGGTAGTGAGCTGGTTGCTTCATTTCATTAGACATCATAACAGTCTCTCCTAGCTCCCGTACCTGGATACATAGTCACTGAGCTCAGCAGGTATGTTGTAGTGGACCTTCTCCCCTTCAATAATCTCCTCCATCTGAACTATCTGGGCAGGAGTGTAGGGGATGCTGCGTGTAAACACATGCAGCAGAGCTTTCTCCACATGAAAACCCTTATCCTGGCTCCTGTATAACAGCAGCATCTTTGTTAAATAAAATAAAATCACAAACAGACACCAAAAACAAGCAGAGCAACACAATCCTGCACTGCAAAACTCACCTTGGCTTCTTACCTGTATCCTGTGCACTTGTAGCTCGGGAGGTGGTCACTTTCAAATGGAGTCACACAACTAAGGATGAGGTGAGCCTCGGCTGCCATGGCGCTCACCTGCCAGCTGTTGTGCCACTCGCGCTTCGGCTGGTCGACAGGAGTCCCGCCTTGTCCGTTACACAGAGAGACGTGGACCTCCCCGTCTTCAGACAGAATCTCAACACAACTACATGGAAAACACAAATTTAATTTAAGCATCTTTCAGAGTTCTGGACTTGGGATTACGATGACCTCCAAACCTCTTCACACCCAAAGTCTAAAGTGTTGATGAGGCAACACTGATTTCATTCCATATTGCATTAAATTCATGCAGCAGAACACGACAGGTGGTTCAGCATTATTATGCCAAAAAGGCTTATTTTTAACATAAATGCCCCACATTATTAGCTCCACAGCAGCAGTCTGATTCATAGCCAGGAAAAAACCATCTCTGTGCGCTGAAGTCAGAGGGAGAATCTTTTTGGTGCTAGCTATACATTCTATACTGGAGATGGAAACACTGATAACATCTATTACCATTTTTCAAGGACTTTTAAAAGATTAAAGGAATAGTACACCCAAAACATGATTAGCCTTCATTTTCTACTCACCCCCATGCTGAACAAAACTCTGGAGTACTTTTTTGATATCTCAAATGCATCTGGAGATCTGGGAGGCTTCTTGCTGTCTGCTGACATTCAAATAATGGAGGTCTATGGCGCCCGAGACAGAAAGGTCCACAAAAACTTGTCAATATTCCTCCATACTGCTCGTCCAATGTAATCCAAGTGTCCTGAGTGGGTAGCATCCAGAATTTACTCGAAACGAAGTCATTTAGAACGTTTTAGAGCCTAAACAGTAGTGTATAGGATTTCCTAATAGCGCCCCCATGCGCGCTCACGATTCTACGGAAGCCGGCAGACCAAACCAGCGCATTCAGCTCGGCAAAGAACTCATGCTCTTCCTCAACACTGAAGTCCTCAGACATTTTTCTTTCGTTGTTTCTTTCTTTGCACAGGTAAACAGCACATTTCTTCTTCTACGCTTGCATTATCGGCAGACCAGACGCTGAATGCGCACTTTCTTCCGGTTTGGTCTGCCGGCTTCCGTAGTATCGTGAGCGCGCATGGGGGCGCTATTAGGAAATCCTATACACTACTGTTTATGCTCTAAAAACATTCTAAATGACTTCGTTTCGAGTAAATTCTGGATGCTACCCACTCAGGACACTTGGATTACATTGGACGAGCAGTATGGAGGAATATTGACACGTTTTTGTGGACTTTTATGGACCTTTCTGTCTCGGGCGCCATGGACCTCCATTATTTGAATGTCAGCAGACAGCAAGAAGCCTCCCAGATCTCCAGATGCATTTGAGATATCAAAAAAGTACTCCAGAGTGTTGTTCAGCATGGAGGTGAGTAGAAAATGAAGGCTAATCATGTTTTGGGTGTACTATTCCTTTAAATTGTCCAGTGAGCTGTTTCCAAACTAAATTTCTTTTTGTTTTACACTTGTGTAAACAAAATGACAAATAGAATCTGTCTAAAGTCTAAAGTCTAAAGTCTAACTTGACTGGAATTGGTTTGTGTGGTTAAACCATCAACCAGTTCAAGCTCGGAAGATGGTAGTGATGCTGAGGAATATTGAGGCCCTCACGGCTTACAGGCTAGAACCATCTAGAGCGGACTTCTAGTCATTCTCTGAGCTGGATAATATGACCACAGCAGCCCCAGTAGAAAACACAGCTTGATACGCCTCTGGTAAAGATAGTATAACCAGTTATTAGTTTATAAATACCATTTTTTAAAAAATTTTTTTTAAATAAAACGATTTTTAAATAAATCCTCCACCACCGTTATAAGAAATCATCTTCTTTATTCTTAAAGGAATAGTACACCCAAAACATGATTAGCCTTCATTTTCTACTCACCCCCATGCTGAACAACACTCTGGAGTACTTTTTTGATATCTCAAATGCATCTGGAGATCTGGGAGGCTTCTTGCTGTCTGCTGACATTCAAATAATGGAGGATATTAGCGCCCGAGGCAGAAAGGTCCATAAAAGTCCACAAAAAACGTGTCAATATTCCTCCATACTGCTCGTCCAATGTATTCCAAGTGTCCTGAGTGGGTAGCATCCAGAATTTACTCGAAACAAAGTCATTTAGAATGTTTTTAGAGCATAAACAGTAGTGTATAGGATTTCCTAAAAGGGCGCACATGCGCGCTCCCGACGCTACGGAAGCCGGCAGACCAAACCAGCGCATTCAGCTCGGCAAAGAACTCATGCTCTTCCTCAACACTGAAGTCCTCAGACATTTTTCTTTCGTTGTTTCTTTCTTTGCACAGGTAAACAGCACATTTCTTCTTCTACGCTTGCATTATCGGCAGACCAGACGCTGAATGCGCACTTTCATCTGGTTTGGTCTGCCGGCTTCCGTAGCGTCGTGATCGCGCATGTGCGCGCTTTCAGGATATCCTATACACTACTGTTTATGCTCTAAAAACATTCTAAATGACTTCGTTTCGAGTAAATTCTGGATGCTACCCACTCAGGACACTTGGAATACATTGGACGACCAGTATGGGGGAATATTGACACGTTTTTTGTGGACTTTTATGGACCTTTCTGTCTCGGGCACCATAGACCTCCATTATTTGAATGTCAGCAGACAGCAAGAAGCCTCCCAGATCTCCAGATGCATTTGAGATATCAAAAAAGTACTCCAGAGTGTTGTTCAGCATGGGGGTGAGTAGAAAATGAAGGCTAATCATGTTTTGGGTGTACTATTCCTTTAAAGGAATAGTTTCATCTGCCAGGGTTGTCAGATCTGCCTGTTTCCAGCCCAAAAACAATATGAACCCCCCCCCCCCCCCACCCCAATAGAAACAACACAAAATAAAGTCCTCTGAACCTTCTGTTAAAACAAAAAACTTATAAAACACCTAATGCACAATGCTGAGCCCTGAGGTTAGCGTCTGACTGAGGTATTATAGAAACGTAATAAGATACATTTAAGATGATGATCCAATTTAAGATGTTGATAATCCACTGGGCTTGGATCATCATCTGGGGTCCATTTCACAAAGCAGGGTTAACAAATTCAGATTCAAATCCGCAACTGTAAATTGATCAAGCCAAAAGTCAGGAACTCTAAGTGTTCGGTTTTAATATGGCTGCAATCAACTAGTTCAATCAATTTAAACAAGGTCCACTCAGGGTTGAGTTTTTTATATCTAGAAATGTTAACACATTTTAAGTGGCACATTCTGACGTTTATCAGCTTGACTGAAAAAGTATTTATTAAATGTGAAAAACATTTTTTTATAGTTAAAAAAATACAAATGCTGACCAGTAATATTGGGAATATGGAGATCTAAAATGAATTTCTAGACATCCAGAAAGTTTATTCTAGATGAAGAGAATGTCATTTTGGTTTTTTTCAGATATAAGGAATTCAGTAAAACTAGTAAATATAGAACGGCTTGCCATACCTGTTGTTACAGTGAAAATATTACGGGATTATTTCTTGAAAGATAGTAGATCAACCTATCTATTTAGAGCCTGTGGATCATCTCCTGCGTCCCTCCTAATGTTGATAAGCCTTCAGGTCTTATCCAAATATTTCAAAAAATGTTCTTGATTCAACATAATCTTGTAACTGATGTTATTTCTTAACAATGGGTCTGATTTTGGCCCATACACTTGCTAGGAAATCCTATACACTACTGTTTATGCTCTAAAAACATTCTAAATGACTTTGTGTCGAGTAAATTATGGACGCTACCCACTCAGGACACTTGGAATACATTGGACGAGCAGTATGGAGGAATATTGACACGTTTTTTGTGAACTTTTGGGGACCTTTCTGTCTCGGGCGCGATAGACCTCCATTATTTGAATGTCAGCAGACAGCAAGAAGCCTCCCAGATCTCCAGATGCATTTGAGATATCAAAAAAGTACTCCAGAGTGTTGTTCAGCATGGGGGTGAGTAGAAAATGAAGGTTAATCATGTTTTGGGTGTACTATCCCTTTAAGTACACTTTTTAGGTATCTATACTTTACTCCATTACTTATTTTTGCTTCCTACTTCTGACTTCTGCTCATTACATTTTCACACATGTATCTGTACTATCTATTCCTTACATTTTTAAAACAAATGTTACTCGTTACTCTTGGCTTCGGTTTTATGATTACAAATATTTATTTCACATCATGTGTGCCATCCAATGCAGATCACTGGCGCCTTCCACATCTAGGGAAAACTAGTATAAATGGATGAGTCCTATACAGTGATTGGAGTAACGGCGTTTCAAGCAACGGCGTTACTGGATGGATGGATGGATGGACGGACGGACGGACGGACGGACGTACGTACGGACGGACGGACGGACGGACATCCATCCATCCATCCATCCATCCATCCATCCATCCATCCATCCATCCATCGATGGATGGATGGATGGATGGATGGATGGATGTTGCAGTATATATAACAACCCAAACACAGGATTTCAGAATTAGACATCCCCAGTTATTAATTTCATACACTCACCAGATCTGAACGCCCTGTTAAAAAACTTCACACCCATGAGTAGAGGTAATGCAGCCTGATGATATTCACACCGCATCAGATACCGTTCCCCCATGTTAAGAAGAGGGGTACACTATCTGACGGGGTTTAGAAGCCCATCAGATACCATACCCCCATGTTAAGCAGGGGAAACGCTATTTGAAGGGGTTTATAGGCCAGTCAGACACCGCTCCCCTGATGTCATTTACGTTGAGTTGCAATAAATGCAAAACTCTCTGCAGGTACTTGTCTTTGTCGTCCGCTCTATTCAGCTGGCTTTTGAAACACACGGCGAGAAGGTGGGGGCCAGGTGGTGAGGGTTACGGGGGCGAGAAACGCAACAGTAATGCAATAGTTACTAGTAACTGGTTACTTTTATTGTGGCGTAACTCAGTTAGTAACTCAGTTACTTTTTGGGAGAAGTAACTAGTAACTATAACTAATTACTTTTTCAAAGTAACGTGCCCAACACTGGTCATATAACGCAAACACTCATTGGTTAGCTAAAAGAAATCAACAGAAAGAAGCAGGTGTTCTTCAAACTGCGAACTGTCTATGCCATGCTACAATGTGGGATTCAGAAAAAGATGTCAGAATGTCTGAAAGGTCGGACACAGGCGAGAGCGTATCAGGAGATGTAGACCAACAAGACCTCCCTCATCCTTTGCCCTATCTCAAAGAATTTTTCTAAATAGTCGTAAAATTTAGCTTTAAATCCATACAGTGGAATCTGGCTGCTTTTTTTTTTAAAGCTTACTTTATACTTTAATACTTTAAGTAGTTTTTGGAGCTCATATTTTTTCACTTTTATTTGAGTAAAGAGGTGAAGTTGATACTTCAACTTTTACCAGTGTGTTATATAAACTGCAGTATGTATACTTCTACTTAAGTAATAAATGTGTGTACTTTTGACACCACTGGTCATACCTAAGGAAGAAGCTCTTCAGAAGCTCTCTGTTCTTTTTCACCCCGCTCTTCCTCCCGCAGTGAGGGAAGTTGAACACTACTCTGTCAAACACTCGGCCCTTCAGGGAGGCGCACTCCCCCAGCCTGGTGCAGTCCACCTCAAACAGGACAGTCCCCCCTGAACAATAACCAAGCATAAGGAGACATCACCAAAAAAAAAAACAAGTAAAAATAAATAGAAAAGCGAAATAAGTGTAAGGTACCCGAGTCCTGGATGGTCTGAATGTTGGTAGCTGCTCCTTCGTGGCGCAAAGCCTCCTCCTGATGCTGCAGGCAGGTGGCCGTTATGCTGCTCCCTGATTCAGAGTCCAACTTACACACTGAAGAGGAAAAGGAGAAGTTCCCCTCTCCCACCAACAGAACGGACCGTGAAGGCGTCATCTCATAGAAACTCGAGAGGAGGCTTAAAATGTAAAACTCCCAACACTAAAATCGTTTCTGTTTATATAAAAGCTCTAGCAGATATAAATCGACGACGGGCGACATAAACCACTGTCCTTCCCACCGCTTAACGGTCTAATGAGAATTTAGCAGCCGCATATTTGGTCCAACCTAATTCCTTTTGACATTTAAAGATGCTGCACATCGATTATAAACGCCTTTCATTCCATTCTAGAGATGAATAAATGAGCTTTCATGTACTGTTCGGCGCTGCTGCGGTACTTACAACTGAGTCACCTGTGGCAACCAACGAGTGTCACAAGTATAGTCGTCCGGGGGGAAACACGTCTCCAGTGACGCAATTTTCCCCTGCACTCCCACATCCTACAAACACCATATAATGATAGATACAAAATAAATAAATGGTCAAATGTGTTATTGTCCTATTCCTACACACAGGTGCGCTTAAAGTTGCATTTTTTTCATAATTGACATAAGAGAGGAGGATTTTCAGAGGCGACGCACAGCATCTTGAACAGGGAGAAATCTGCAGCATCACTTGATCTGCAGCATCAGCTCGCATGTTTGCGGTCAGTCGTTGGTTTAGAAAGAAAATATACCCTGACAGTGATTCCGATGAGCGGTTCCCAGTTTCGCTCGGGATTTTAAGGTACCCCGATTACATTTGGAGTCCGGTGAAATATATTCCTCCACCTGTCAGTGTTTAATGATGCTAAGGTCAGGCTAGCTAACGGATTTGCTGCATAAAAACAGCTTTAGCACTCATGATAATAGCAAAGGTTAGATTTCCCTATAATGAATTTACATCTTTAAGCAAAATGTATTATTAAATTCTATTTTAGGACATCTTTGGTACAAATCTGCATCATGGTCACTCTGTTTATAGCTATGCTCTGTTTATTCTGTTCTAATCTCGTTCTCATGCAGGATCCCAGGTTAGACAATGATTATATTTCTTCTACAGGCTACAGTTATGCAAATACGCTTTTTGTCTTTGTCCTTTAGGTAGCATTGTGCCCACATGGGCAGTGTTCTGGCTTTGTCTTCCAATCCAGGCCACCATAACTGGCCTTTCTCCAAGGATCATCTTCCTTCTCGTTGGGACGCTCATCCAGCCCATTGGGACCGTCCACCACGCTGGGAGAGGAGAGATGGGAGACTCCCCAACCCTGGCAGCTTCCACTCTCTCCATAGGAGCTGTAAAGGTAGCTGTTGGTCCATGGAAGAGGATCTGTGGAGTCACCTATGACTTTACTGTATTCCTAACCTTATGGCATTAAGACATTCTTAAGAAATTCTCTAGATTTTACAAGATGATCCAACACAAATTAGTGCATCATTGTGAAGTGGAAGTGAATTGTGGCAGCTGTTAGATTTTTCTCCCAGTCAATAACTACTAAAACTACCATTTTCCAACTGTTACTGCCAATGGCGTAATGACACAACAATAGGCCCGTAAGCAACATTATTTGGGTGGGCCCCAAATGAAGTACAACACCCCGTCCTTCACCGCCCGCTGCCGCCATAGACAACCGACCCGAAATGTGCCCCATACACACTCACTTCATCATTGCATCATTCTTCACCTTCACTAGACATGGATATACTTTAGTATATTCTGCTGTAAAATGAGTCACATCCCCCCTCCCTCGCCCACGCTCTCTCCATTCATCTCCTGGTTGCAATCTTCACTCACTGTAGCAGCAACATCCACCTCTCCCTCTTTGGTTCTTTGAAAGAACGTGTTTTGGGTTTTTTTCCCGTTCTTCCAACACCTCTTCTTTCCTTTTTCTTTTCTGGAATCCACTTTAGTACCTCTCTTTGGTATCCATTGTCGCTAACACATTGAACGTAATGGTTATGGTTTTATTCTATGCTCTGGATTACCCATAATTCCAAGTGGTAGTTTAAAAATTAAAATACTCAAATATATTGTTCTTTTATGATCTTTATTGCGGTTTAAAACATATTATATGAGTGTATTTTTTTACCAACCGTCTAATGAACTATACACAGTTATTAACATAGTAATTGAAAGTACCACTGTCTGCTTTGCTATTGGTGTCGTGTTTAAAACATTTTTGTAAAACAAAAACACATTTTTCATCATCATTTTACTAAACATCATTTACTAAAAAATAACTTTAGCTGTCACTATAGATTAGGGGCTGAAAGTTAAAGTTTGAGCAGAAATGATAGCGCTGTACCTCACATCACTGTTCACTGATCAGAGAAAGTTGGCATGTTTGTTTACTGGGAAGTAAAGCTAGGCGCTTCCTAGAGGGGCTGGTAATAACAGCTCCATGTAGACCAAGCATGAACACTTCATGGAGATAGGAAAGTTGGGCCCCCGGAAGAAGCTATTTAGGTCGCTAGTGGCCCACTTACACTTTTGGTAGTTATTTCCCAAAATACAAAACCATTAAAATATGCTTACAGATGGAGAGGTTGTAGTCCTTATTATAGTTGTTTTGTTAGCCACGTGAAATGTGTATTTTTTTTTCTAAAGCCTTCGTAGCTTTAAAATTCATTAAAGTGGCATTAGGGAGTTTTCTAGTGATACTGCCACCTGTGGCCAAAACATAGAACTGCAGCACTCTTCCGCTCATTCTTAAGGCTCTCGTACCTTTTTTTTTTTTTTTTACTTTTTTCACCTTACCTGGAGTTGCCATTGGTGTCCGCGTTGAGCTGGATGCTGCTCGCGTCTGAATATCCCCAAAAAATCATCTTCAATCCAACACTTTGATTGTTTTCTAGGTTGGACCCATTTAACAGAGACCAGGTTGACGCCCCCAAAGTTAATTCAGGAAAATAGTCTACAGGTTATATATGCATCAGCGGTGAACTAGTGAGGCGTCAGTTTGCTCATCAAACAAGGTTTTCTTGTAAAGAGTCAATTAAAAAGTCTATTTTAAAGATATTTATCAGTAAATAAAAAGAATGTCTCTTTAAGGGGGAAACAGAAAACCTTACATTGGTGGATGAGCCACTAAACAAAAGATGTAAAACAATTTCTTTGATCTACTTAACTGTATCCATGCATGAGAGCCATGCTCTGCAAATGTCTATGGCAATGCAAGCATGAGCTGCTAACTTCTGTCGAGCTATTGAAGCTTTGTGCGTCACCATCACTCTTTGAAATGTTGCCCATTGTATTCAATAGAGTTGTCAGAACTCTCCTATCTCCATGTCTCTGAGCCCCACCTTTTTCCAGGACAGGGATTGGCTGCTGCTCACAGATTAGAATTCACGAGGAGATAACTCAGACAAGCATGAATCAAGAAAAATACCAATTCTGGGAGGAATTTGAATGAAGAAATAGTATAATAACATTGCTAAAAGCTATATTAATACACTTTTGATTAACCAATTAATCTGAAATATATAAAATAATTATTTAAATGAATATACAGCACTTGATGCATATCGATGCTTAATGCTCTTCTCATAAACTGTCTAACTTAAGAGATTCAGATCCATAACTGAATGAGTCATGTGACCCAGAGCATCTGGTGGTCTGCTTTCACTGCACAGAGGGAGACTGCTTCATTTTCCAGCATCACTGTTGGCCTTCTGGAGGGCTAAACTTGGAAGTTACAGGTCAAGCTCCCCCTGTTTAACGACTTTAGTGACATTCAAAGCCAGCTGGTTAGACTGCATTTTATCTCGGAGTTGTCAGATTAAATGTTGGAAGAATACAAATTCTAATCTTACTTTTTAAAATTTCTACATAAATAAATACTGTGTGTTGGTCTATCAAACAAAATCATAACAAATTGTATTGATTGTGATTACATTGATTTTCACATGTCTTTTTTTGTTCTTCCATCAGATGTTTTTCCTCATCAGATTGAAGGTGTCAAGATGATAGTAAATAAAACTTTGAGCAGCTTTTTCAAGGTGAATCTTAATTGTTTGTATTCCAACTTTAAAAAAAAAAGTAATGTTTTATCTTGAACTAAAGTTATGAGTCTGTTTCCAGGTCAGTCATACTCTCCACCTTAGTGCTGTTAGTCCTTCCTACTATCGGTTCCACGTGGAGCATCTGCAGTCTGACGACTACAGCAAGGACAAGGTAAGACACATGTGATCAGAAAGCGGAATTATTTCCTGCTCTGTCTTTACAGGTTTAGATCAAAAAAGTATGTTTTTTAGTTGCTACAGGTCCCAATAAGTGTAAAAAAAGAAAAAATCCAAATATAGTTTTATATTTCCAAGCGTCCAATCGTAATGTCTGGATTTTAAAACTAACCAGTTAATCTAGTTTAACTCCTACACTGGTTTTGATATAACTGGAGCACATAGAAGTATATCTGAAAACAGCTTTTAAAACATTTGAATGAGCAATTTGGATAAAGAGTGAAATTTAATTCTAGATGAAGTTTGACTTGACATATCTTTGGGAATCCTTGCCTTGTCAATATAATTTTTAGGAAAAAGTAAGTGTATGTTCCTTGTCCATCCACTTATAGGATGCTCCAGCTCTGATTGGAGAGATGGACTCTTCAGGTAGTCTGAACGCTCACGCTCTCCTTCATCTCACCGAGCGTGTTCGAGCCAGAACAGTTTTCCAGGTGGGTTTCTTTGTGTCTTTCGGGGCCGTTTTTGTCCATTTCAGGTGCAGTATGTGTATGAATCCAAACTGCTAGCCAGCCGCTCACAATCTGTGCTGTATTTCAGAGCCAGCAGTCTCAGTTTGTAACCTGGCAGTTTGAAACCGAGTACAGGGGGAGTGACTTTACTGCTGCGGTGACAGTGGCCAACCCAGACATCCTCAGAGAGTCTGGTGAGGAACGACAAAGACTCAACTAGGACCAATTTTTAGCATTTCAACCAAATATACACTTAAATAAAAATAATTGCAGAGGTGCATGTAAATTTGTATTTTTTGTCTATCTTGTCACTTTGTTTATTCGATCCTTCCCTGCAGTCATCCTGGTGGCACATTTTCTGCAGAGTGTGTCATCTAGCCTGGTGTTGGGAGGAGAACTGGTGTACCACAGAGGACGAGCCGAGGAAGGAGGAATCCTGACCCTGGCTGGACAGTACTCGAGTGAGAAAATGTCATTACAGAACATCTCTAAGGGCATCTCAGCTGTTAGTCTTCTATGACATTTCACAGGATTCATTAATTATTAGCCTGATTCGTTAAGACACTTTTTTAGTTATCTATATATTCTAAATGTAAAAAACATTAGCTACAACACAAAAGTGTTTTTAAGTCAGAAAAATACTACCAGTTTTGCTCAGCACAGCCATAAAGCGTTCCTGTCTGAATTCATTCATTTGGCCTTTTCTACTTTTACTTTCAATTATTGAAAAGATAATATCTTTCTAATTTGGTAAGATTAAATAATGTGAAATGTGTTTTTTGAAAAAAAAAAAACTCAACAAAACTTTCATCAACCTGCTAAAATTCAGTATCAATGAGAAAAATACTATCGCTATATTTATATTATACTGAATTTTAAGGGTGAAAACTAAAAGTTATTTTGTAAAAACAACAAATATTTCTTCATGTTGGAAGGTAACCTAATGTTTTTTTTTTTGCTATTTTATTATATTTATTTTTCAATGTTTAAAATTTCTTTTTTTTTTTTTTACTTTTTACCTTTAAATATGTGGAAATTTTACTAAAAGATATCCTTACTGTTCATGCAGTGTTTCTCTTTATTTTGCTCTGGTCACCATGCAGGACCAAACTGGGTTGCGACCCTTAATGCTGGCAAAGGGGGCGCCCATGCTAGCTACTATCACAGAGCCAACAAACAGGTAAGGACAATAACAGCTGATCTATGATGTCCATGTGCAGCACGCTAAGGTAGATTTGTGTTGCCAGATCCAAGTTGGGGTGGAGTTTGAGGCCAGCACCAGGACGCAGGAGACCACCATGTCCTTTGGGTACCAGATGGAGCTTCCAGAGGCCAACATGGTTTTTCGAGGTAGTCTAAGGTGCTAATAGCTGAGGTTACATATTGCAAAAGAAAAGAGTGAAAATCCAGTGTATCAGATATCTTTATGGTGTGTATCCAGGTATGATCAACAGCCGGTGCATCATTGGAGGCGTGTTGGAGAAGCGCCTAACCCCGCTACCTGCCACTCTAATTATGGGAGCCTTTGTGAATCACAGAGGTGACAAGCTGCAGGTTGGCCTCGGCGTCAATGTTGGATGACCTTTCCCATACGCAAACTGTACAGGAGTGTGAGGACATCAAACCAGAGACATACATTTGAGCTTTTCTTTAAAGCACTGACATGAAGGATGTGTCTGATGCACCAAAAATGTTCTCTTTGTATCTCACCTTGCAACCTACCTCCAAATAATAAGGTTATGTTGGTGAAAGCTCTGTCCCAGAGGAATGGATGCTACTTCAGAAGGGTGCAACTATGGGGTGAACTTTGTTCCATTAAAAACATTTACAAAACATTTACAAAATGCAAATGCATTTTGTAAATGGTAGGTAAACTTTTAGAAGCTCCTTAGTTAAAAAAAAAAGTGTTTGGAAGTCGAACTGTACTGATTTCTGATATTTTATTTTTCAAATTTTTTTACAATTTTTTTTATTTTCAACTGATTAATTTTTTCAATTTTTTGGGATCAAATTTTACAAATTGCATTCGTTTTCAAATTGCGTTTTACAGATCGGATTCTCTTCACTTTTCTGTTGGTGTCGGCTGGATTTTAATAACAAAATTTTTATTGGTCAACAGCGAGCTTTAGAGTAAAGAGAATGTGATCTGTAAAACAATCTAAAAAGAAGGAAATTAATGAAATAAAATCTGAAAATTATAAAACCTTTGAAATAAAACAACTTGAAAAATTAAGTCAGTAAAAAAATGAATAAAAAATTATACAAATACTAATATGAAAGAAGACTGAAAAAAAAAAAACAATCAGAAAAAGGCAAAGCTACTCTCAAAACCTGATTGGATAAAAACGTTTTTTCGAAATTTCTCTTCCTGATTGCATTTTTATATTTTAATTTAGAAATAGGGTTCTTTGCTTTCAACAATAATTGAACAAAATTCCCTCCATACATCCCCTCTGCAGTAAGAGAGGTGAGATGAAAACTGTACTGTTTATTTAGAATAACAATTTTATACTGTGGATATTCATGAACTAACCTAAAGATATATGAACTAACCAAACTTCCCATGTTTGTGAATTAGCTAAATATATTATAATTTATGTGTTTTTGATCATCCCACAGGGTGTGTCTGAAAGAGAAATGACAAAAATTATGTTTACATGTTTTTCAGGAAATCAGTGGTTAAGAATTAAGCTGCGAACCAGATATCGAATAAAAATGTAACACATTTTGTGGCAGCTGTCCATCAGGCTTCATAGACCCCCTGTGGTTTATATTTTACTCATTTTTATTCAGGGTATCAAGGAATGCAGAAAGCAGATTTGATTTCTGAATTTAATTTCTGAAGTAGAATATAGACAGTATGTCCTTAAAAGTTAATTTCATGCACGTAGTTTGATCCTGAAAGAAACAGATGAGCCAAGCGGAGGAAACAGGGTCTTTGTGCAAACAGAGATTTCTTATATGTTTCCCAAAAAAGACATGTAGAAACATGAATCTGTCACATTTAAACCCTGTTTATCAAGTTCAGAATATGATAAATCTGCTGTGAATGTTTAATTTAATAGGGACATGGATTGAGGAACAAGATATTGTCCCTTTATTTCTGATGTTTTAATAAAAATCTTATTTATGCCATGACCCTTTTTCTTTTGTCTGTGCATAGTAGTGGAGGTTGGGGGAACTATTATTAAGTTTTGATATTTCTCACAACTGGTATGGAAAGGTAGGCCTAGATTTGATTATATTTGAATTCATAATGAGATTTAGATTAAAAAGAGTCTCTAAAATAAATGGTCCACTTGTATTCTGTGAAGACCTTAGAGAATGTAACAGCATGCTAAAGACCAAAGAACAGAGCAGACAAGTTGGGGATAAAGTTTTGCAGAGGCTTAAGGAGAACCGTTAGGTATATCATCCCAAATTAACAAGTGTGGAGGAACTTCAAAGCAGCAAAAACATGGCTGTCCACTTAAACTGACTGGCCTATGGTAGCTCTGGAGGAGTTCCATGCAAAGGTTTAAAGTTTAGCTTGAAGACAATCAAAATGGCAATATTCATAACCTCCTTAACATATCTGGGAATAGAATAAGGAAATGAATAAAATTATGTTTTTAAAAAAAATCCAGAAGAAGAAATAGACCATGCATTTGATGCAGCAAAGGTAACATAAGGTGCCTCAGTCAAATGAGGCCAAATTCAACCTGCTGGCCAAACACTAAGCAACAGTGTCGATCACAACATAGTGGTGTGTCGCTGTAATGTTGCCGTCACTGCAAACTTGCTACTTGTTTGTTTCAGCTGTAAACTAAGCAAAATTTGATCCTGCAAATCATTCAATCACAGGAGAATGAATGCTTAGTGTGAGGGATTGCCTTTGAGTCAATGAGTCGATGCAATCATCCGGTTTTCCTTAGATGGAAAACTAAATCAATTTCACTGTATGATCTGGTTGAGTTGTAAAGTGCCTTGAGATGCTGTGAAATTGTGCTATATTAATAAACTGAATTGAGTTGAATTGAAAAGGAAACAAATACTCTAGTTTGATATTTTCTATACCAAATTCTATATATTTTTTCTATTTGGATAACCAAAACTGATATTCAGCTGCTTCAGGGTTCTAAAAACTTATGAACCATACTATTTATCTTAAAATGACACTTATTTTTAGCTTTGTCTCAGATACTACTTTGCATGATTCATGACAGAAATAAGTGCGAATACTGACCCTGAGTTTTAAATAGAATAATGAAAGAGAACGAGACATTTACATATTTACATAAAAAGGAAGAAAAAACGTTTTTATATTGTTGAAAAAAAATCACTTCATATTTTAATATTTTCATACAAAGTCTAAAATAATTATCATAATGTACATATATACACACAGAGAAAAGTTCATTAATTTGTAAACGTTCAATTTACTGATGTGGAGATTGATCATATAGTTCATCATCTGGGGCCAAAAGGACATAGGAGCCAAAATGGAGGCTTTCTCTCATTTGTCCTTGAATAGAGATGAAAAAAATCCTTTTCCTCCTTCACCCCTCACTCTCAAAGATTTGCTTCTTTGGAGTCCAAATGTGTTCTCCTTCTCCTGCTTGTCTTCTTTCTTCTTCTCCTCTTCCCTTTGCAGGACCTGTTGATTGATGACGAAACGCATGTCCTCCTGCAGTGGGACAAAATTTTAGAAGTCAGAAAAATCTTGATAAGGTCAAGGAGGATGAGGAGGTCATTTAGAGTTCACACAACCCAAGCATGGGAACTGCAAGTCCCTTGAGATCATAAAATCTTGCTGGAATATTAAAAGATGTCAGAGAAGCTTTCCACTCATCCGTTTTCTTTTCTTGCTTATTCTTGCAGGATTGAACGTTTGGTGCTATCTCTGGTGCTCACTTAGGACAGGACAAATAAGCAGGTATACATACAGTCATACCTGAGGGAAATTTAAAGTGACGGATTAACCTTATAGTTATAATATTTGGCTTTAGAAATAAGCTGGAGAACCTGGAGATAACCTCTGAATGTAAGGGAACACGCAAAGCCATGCAAGGCACCTACATGTGCAAATGTGTACTACCTTTGATATAATTCAAAAAAGATTTTACCTCATCATTGGATCATGGAGACATTGTTTCAGGGTGTTGAGATATTGCTAAACTAGAAGCCATTAGTGTAATTGGGGAGATAAATCAGGACACCTGGACATAGCTTGGTGGTGTTCCTCAGGGGTTTGTTGTTGGTCCTCTTTTAAGTACCAGTCGGAAATAAGCGTTCATATTCATATGCATTTCAAATGAATTAATGTGATATCAACAAAATGTCTCACGTGGTAAAATAAAAAGTTTATACTATAACATTAGATATGCAAGCTTACATAAGGATGTTTTTTCATTAAGACTTTTGAGATTGTATCACATTTACATCAAGATTGTACCAGATAAACCCATTTCTTACAGTATAAATACCTTATTGAAAGACCTTTCAATGAAAATGTTCTGTATTTATAGATTAAGCGGCAAATTACAGCTCTGAAGTAATTGTGGTTTCTGAATTACAAACAAAGCATGTTGAGTGTCCAGCAGTTTTTCGTATATTTGAAGGGACGCACACCAAAGGAGACTTTTGATGAAATGTTAAACGTTTTAAAAGGTCATATGTTGGGGCATCATCACCATAAGTTACTTTAATTTCATGAACGACGGGAGACTTCTGATGAGTTAATCTATAGAGATATAAATGATCGCACATGCAAAATTTCAGCTAGATTAAACAACTGGAAGTGGATCAGAGGCAGAGGCATTACTTATTGAAGGTCCCTCGTATGTAGACTGTCAGCATCACATAGATGATCATTTACTGAAATGTATTGGTTCAAAAAAATGTTTTCGTTGATTGAAACCTTCATACGCAGACTCACCTGCCAGGCATCCAGCTCTTGGGTCAGCTTCACCTTCTGTTTGATGGTGTTCAGAAGCTGCTGAGTGAGCAAATCTTTCTCCTGATGAACTTTAGCCAGCTCACTCTCCAGAGAGCTGCAAATAAAATCCCCCAAAAATTGCCTTTAATTTTCTATAATAGTAAAATCCAAAGAATTAATCTTTTAAAGAAAATCTAAGATAATCAGTCTTTATATTGCAGCCTCACCTATAGCTCGGCTTCTCTAGGCTGCCTCTGCAGAGCTTTATTTCGTCCCTGAGAGACCCGAGCTCTTTTTGGTGAGACTGAAGCTGCCAAGAAAGAGTTTAAATTTCAAATGTCAGGTTTTTTTTGCATTAATTATCTTCAATACATTAACTGATAATTCCTCCTCTGGAAAATAAAACATCAGTTTTTTACTCAGAGAAGCGATTTTCAGTGATCTCAACATCCTATAATGATCCCAGGTTTGTACCTTTAGACATCAAAACTTGTATCATTGTCTTAAAAATGTTTCCACTGAATGCTTTTTAAAGCAAACACATTGAAGCTTATTTTCCTTTCCTTTTTTTGCCTGCCTTCCTTAAATGAAGCATTTTCCTTTCCTTTGGTGTCCTGCTGTTTCATTAACATGAACCCTGAACTAGTATGTAGATCTTAACAGACCTCTTCCTTTAAGGCTTGTATTTCTTCATCTTTGGCCTGCAGCACTGAGGAATGAGCCAGAAGAGCCTCTGTAGCCTATAAATAACAGGAAACAAGAGCAAAAAATGTAGAAATGGATTTGAACATATCATGTGTTCTAATAGATTGTGGAGACCAGTTAGTTTTAGTCACTTTTAATAAAAGGCATGTGAGTAGAGGGTCAGAATTAGTGTAAAGTTCCTGCATGTGTT